GATTTTAATCTTACAATGTATCGAATGAACCAAAACCCAAACCGTTAAAATTTATAAATCTTTTGACATTTATTTTCTATAAATCAAATTAAGTAAATATTTTTATTTTTGATTTCAAATACCTCTTAGTTGGTATTTAAAGTATTTCGTTTGTGTTTGTTCGTGCCATGGCATGCAATAAAACAATCGGATATTCGAACAAGGAACAATGCCGTGCCGTTTCGTCCCCACGAACCAACGTAGTAGACACTTACGATGGCAATCGGAATAATTATAAACGTAATAAAACAAGGGGGTAACTCGAGTGCGAGTCTCTCTTCCCCTTAACGAGAATTTATGCACGCATCCCCTTTCCGTTTCGCCTTCACTTTTAAAGTAGAGGGTTTAATTCATATCGATCGACGAATATTATTTAAGTAGATATATTGCGGTCGAGATAGCACGTTTTATACTATTTATTGGTGTAAACGTTTGATTCGTGGGCACGTTTAAAATTTCTAATAAGTTTATTAGAACCGTGTGCCCTGCTATCATCGCGTCACCTAACTGTACCTAATTGGGCAATTATTTATTCTACATTTTCTTCGTCTCGGGCGTTGAAAGTAATTGGTGTGAACCGGAATTTTAACCAACTCCCAAAAAAATTTGTTTCGTTTCATTCATAAATAGTAAGATATTCTTATTCAAAAAATTAAATGTAAAAATCAACATAAATAATATTTAACACATTCATTCTAAAAAATTTTTTAAGCAACATAATTTTTTCCATTGTTCATGTCCAAAAAGCTTTTTGTTAACTGTATCACCAAAAGATAACTTGTATTTATCATTACTAGTCATTGTTTGTTTATGTTGTTATACTGCGAAAAGAGTGGGAAGAATGCAGCACTTAGCAAAAATTGCACTAGATGAGGAAGAAGTCATAACAGTGCAACGAACACTTTAGAATGAAGTTTTCATAAAGATGCATCGAGTACTAATTCTATTCAAAAGTAGTATAGGAATTTAAAGGTAAGGATGTCTTTGTTATGGGAAATCAACGAGTTTTCTTCCAGTTAGTGAACAAAAGATATGAACGTGAAAAGCCAGCAGAAAGCTGAACATATCACAAACAACCGTTTGAAAGATCTTACGGAAATGATTAAAGCAAAAGCCCTTTGTAATTACTACAAAACCACAAAGTCAGTATAGATGCGCATAATCTTTTTGAAAAATTTGTTTTCAGTGGCGAAACTAATTAATGGCAAATGGGGGTGGTATGTTTGTGACTAAAACTTATGAAATTATGTGGCTTGCACAATTACAATTCAAAGTTTCTGGCACCTATTTCTTTTCTGTGATAACACTATTATAAAGAAATGAAAAGTCTTCAAAAGACAGATCTTGCCCAAAATATATGGACTGGAATGTGGAAAATAAAAATGAACCACGATTTGGATCGTATCGTGTATGGTGCAGACATAGTACGACACATAAAAGCACAGAGAATAGCAAAGCTGATATATCTGGGAAGAATGCAGGGAAACAGAGGAGTGAAGATAATTGTGGAATTGATGCTACATCGATCGAGAGCTACGCAACGATGGAAGGATGACCTGATGACTTTATTGTGAAGCAAGCCAAACCAAACTATTTCCAACTATTAGCCTAATAATGAATTATTTTCCAACCGAACCCAATAATATTAATATCTTAGCAACAATTAATGGGGGATTAGTTAAAAAAAAGTCATAATAATTTTGTTTGTATAAATTTAGTAACTATTTTTGACTGATATATGAAACCAATATGTATTGGACAAAAAAAATCAAAACGAAGAATAACCTTATTTTGACATATTAATACTTGCTATTTCAAAATACATTTAGCTAAGATATCTTGGTAAGTGCTGTACCATACGTTTCACACTTTGTGGATAAATATCTCCTTATAGCTCCAGTGATCATAATAAATTGCGCAAAAATTCGTAGAATGCAGCTTTAGAATGCAATTTTTAGAAAGCAGATCATAATTCATCTATAAAGTGAAAATTTAGTCAAAAAATCAGATTTAACTCTAATTCATATATATTTGAAACTAAAACTTGCAACTAAAATTACACTTGCTTAATTTTGTACAAATCCAGTTTTATCAATTCCAACTATATCAAGATGGCTAAATCATATGATTTGATTATTACTTCAGTTACTCGCTGATAATCAATTAATATGTCAAATAATCAATCAAGACATGATGGCACAAAAAGTTAATAAACTTATTTCCTGATACAAGTAAGATGCGTGCATAAAATACTTGCAAATTAATAAATAGAACATAACTATAAATTTAGATAACCGCAAAATTTTGCACGAAGCATTAAATATAAGCTTTAATGATCTTTTTTTCGGTAAGAAACATTGCACAGAAAGAAACCTATATTCGTCCCAATATATAAAGTTTGTTTCAAAATGTCACGATTTAAATTTACACTTTTTAATACTTTATGATGATTATTTTGGCAGGTTAGAAGTAAAATCAGAAACTTTTGTAAATAACGGCTAGAATAACGACATGATTTATTTTGGGTGAGATGCCACATAGTATAATGAATGACTTCATTCATGAAAAATGAAATAACATGTTGAAATCAAAAAACATTTAATTAGTTGAATTTGCATATAACTGGACACACATTTATCAGTAACAAAAGCATCTAGTCAATCCAAGTCTTGATTTTCTTCGGATATTGTATGAAATGTTGGAAGGAAATCTAATTAATCAGCCAGGTTCAATTTACAACATGAATGAAACTGGCCTTCAACTAAATAACAATGTGGGGTAATTGCTAAAATGTGATTAAGTAATGTGTCTATCATAACAAGACGGAGGAAGAATAGAAAATAACGGTTAATAAAGAGTTTTTAAATCATAAAAAGAATTCCATATGATAGAACATCTAATTAAAACAATATACAATATTGTGCTATCTCTTTCTGAATAATTGGGACAGATGGGAAACAACGCATTTTCTTAAAAGACAGCATTTATTATTAATTCCATAATTTTTTCAGTTTTTGAAATGCTTTTAAGTTATTATCAACCTCACAGTCCTAACCATCTTACAATGAAAATAACAAATTATAGGGATAATAATCTCAACAACATTCACAAATTCTTAGATCTAATGTCGCTCGTCCAAACACTCTTCTGATTATTAGAAAAGATAAGGAAATAATCTATAAGTGAACAATCGAAATCCAAAGACAAATTATGCAGGTATTGTGACTAAGTTTATCCACACCTCTAGCAAATGTCAAGAGTTTGTTATAAAAAAAGGATGAGATCTGTCCTAATTCAAAAACAAGAAATTATGATTGAAATAAACTTGATAAGCAGTGATGCTCACTATTTCACTGAAGTAATAAAAATAAACCAAGAGTAATCAAAACATCATCACACTAACAAGAGATGATTCAGTTCCTAAGATATCAAAAACAACTCGGAGAAGCAGTAACTAAAGTGTCAGGTGAGTTTGATGAGTGATACTTGGTTAAAAATAAGCCATCATTCGACGCTTATAAGTATGTCAACAACGGCACTGAAACTTACAACACTTGTACTTACACTGTACAAATGGTGGGAAGTCAAATAATTAATAAAGCTACCGTTATCTTGGTTACAATAATGTTTAAGTTATGTTTCAGACTTTTTTAATTAATCAAACAAAAAAATTTCAAAGAAACGAGTTTTTGTTTCAAATAACATCTAAAAAAAATCTTATATATTTTTGAAACTAAAAATAACAAGCGCACACACACCATGCTGATATTATTATTACTGCCAAAATGATTTATAGCGGCGCGAGGTGCGTCGAGAATGTTTTGGAATTGCTAATTTACCTTTAGCTATTTCGAAATGCAATTTCCGCACGCACTGGGCGTTGTGGTTATTGCACACACTGAGTGCATTACTCCAACTATTCCCTACTTTAATAGTTCTCTTCGAGACTTGTAGAAAATTGAAACCAATATGGGTCAAATAAAAATAAAATAAAAGATTTTTTTTTATTTTTTAACTATGCTTATTTATAACAGTATCAAAGGGAAAAGTTATGCTGACGTAAGAACTATTCCACGCAAATAAGTCGTTAGGCTGCGTTTGAAATAAACGCGGGCGCACGATCCGTTGAGAATGGAAACTATGCTACAACTCTATAAATTATCTACGGTGACGTTTCGCGCTTTTATCTTTCGCATTTAATCAAAACTAAACAATCTCTTGGTTAAGTTATCTTACACTTAACACGTTTTAATAGAGAAAATAACATTTATTTCAAAAATTTCTCTAGAGATAAAATTAAAATTGTTTCTATAAATATAATTGCAAAAAGATGATTTTTTCCACATAAACCACATCTATTTTTGCTTCATCCTTTCCATAATTACTTCCCTTTCATAAACACAAAAGCAAATAAAAAACAGAAAAAATGCACTGTATATGCAAAGAGTGGAGATTAAAGCAAAAAAACAAGACTATAAAACTACAGGTAATTATTAAGGTTACTTTGAATCAAGATTTTTACAAAAAAAATTATTTGATTAAAAACATGAACCTGTCAGAATGATGTTTTTCTGGTTTACTCTTCCGTTATAAAGAAAATGTAGAAATTAAATCGATTGCAAAGAGAATTTTTTAGTGCAAAAAAATTCTGCCTTTCCTTGTTATTCTGGTTAAGTATCAGAAAATGGAGTAAAACAAGCAAACAAAACTGAGTAAAATAAATATAAAATTGACGTCAAGTTATTGCAAAGAGAATTCCTTATAATAATATACATGAAATCTAAATCGAAGCGAAGCTACTCACCAAACATCAAATATCCAAATAATATTTGCCGTAGCAACAACTTTTGATGAAAGATATTATTTTTTTGAAACTACCTCAAGAAGAATTTTGAAAATAATTCAGGACTTGATGGATAACCATAAAAAAACTTAAACTATAATTTAAATCGAACACGTACCTGGCAGTCGTACAATCCTTGTACAACGTATCGAAGTCTTTACAACTAAGCAATTTGCATCTGTTGACACCGGGTTGTATTGCGCCGAGTCCTCTCAAAATTCGGACTTGTTCAACGTTACACACCAAAGGAACAATATCAAGCCGTTTCAACTTGGTGTAAACGGTGTGCAATCCACCGACGAGGTGTTTCAAAAAGAGTTCGAAAGCCTGCGGCAAACACAGCATAGTATCGCCGGCGATAATGAAGGCCGCGACCTTCTGGCCACGATAATCAACCAGTTTACACTCGTTTGCTGTTGGATCCGACGTGGAAATTGGCGGTGGGCTATTATAAGACCTGGGGGGAGCATGGTGGGCCATTAGGTCTAAAGGGCTGTGGAGCACACCTAAGGTGTTGAGAAGTCCAAGTCCTGGGGGATGTAAATGGCTCAAACCCATGGTTCTTACTAAACCGGCGGTTGAAACGGGTGGTGGACTCAATGGGTGAGCCATGGACATCGGAGGTCCTAACGGGGACGCTTGTCTGGGTGAGTGCACTTGGTTATTGTGGTTGTTGGAAGAGATGTTGTTATTGTTGTTTATAACTGGTGATGTTGGTGGTTTGATGGCAACGGCTGGTGAAGTAGATGACGCGTGGCTACTATGATCACTGTCCATCGTAGTGTCCATTATACACCGAAAAAACTATAGGGGAGGAAAACCGCGTCGCGAACGGAAGAAGAACCGCCGTTTGGAACCGCGAGCACAATTAACCTGAGAGCGACCAAAACCGAGACAGTCCAACTGCAACTGTACGAGGAGTGACTCCGCGCGGATACGTTTACGAATCAACTGTCTCTCTCGCGAATTGGGTTTGGCTGTGTAAAACGGGCGGGGCAACACAACCGGAGCCCTCGGCGGATACGAATGTAATAAATAAAAACATTTGGAAAAACTCCTGCAAGTGGCCCGAGGGCGGTATCCGTTTGAAACCACTCCCAACGAACATTATTGGGCCTCCATAGTCCCGACGCGGCTGCGATTCGTGCCCCACCGCTGTCGTCTTGGGACCGTACCGCTCCCCTTCCAGCTACCGAAAGAAACGTTGTTTCTTTGTTGGGCGGGTAGAAGAAGAGAGGAAAGAGAAGTTGAAATATGAGCTGTGGCGTATTGATAAAAGAATGTCACCGGCCTGTCGGTACAGTAGAAGGAATCAATACCGGCGTTCATGGAAGAGGGAAGAGGTGCACGCCGTTTTATTTTCGCTTTTAGACCGAGAGGGCGTCCTTACGTAACGAAATTCGGAGGCGGCCGCCGCCGAATCCCTACCACCACCATCCACGGCCTAATACGATTATAAATTTCGAAGGAAACCGTATTGGGACGATCGAATTTTTGGTCGACTATAGGAATTTCATCTCTCATTTCATCTTCTCCTTCTTCTTACTTAAATTGTAGAATAACAAATCTTAATACATAACAATTAAAGAAAATTTACTCAATAGTACTTACAACTGGTGAGTCCACGTTTTAGGTTGAGTCACTTTCTATGCTTGATCAACTTTTCAATCAATATTTATACATGGCAAAAATGTTGTTAAGTCTCCACCAGCTGCATACTAATCAAGTATTAAAACCAGTATAAATCCTTAAAACGATCTTCAATAAATTTGCAGTCTGAAATCCAATACATAACGTTGCATCAATATGGTATCAATGTAGCGCCTCGACCACAAAGGACCTTAGCTTAATTAAATTATACATTTTTTGACATAATTTTAAATCGATGTTATTAATGTAGCTTATCACTTTGACACCGACCAGCTTATTCAGTTTTAAATGTTTTGAAGATAATATTTTGTACACTGGGCCTAGATGGTTTACATCCATCATTGATGCTTCAAGAATGTATGCAAGACTTCGAACTACAAAATAATTTTAAAAAAATTGAATCACCGGAAAAATTCTGAGGAACGCAACATTCAAGAAATCGACCACCAAACAAAAATAGTATCATTGCTTGAAAGTTACTGGGAATAAACTACTAGAAATAAAGGGCAAAGATAAAATTACAAGTTGCAGAAGCAAATACCAACCCCATCCTCTCCCAAATAATGAAGACCGATAATATGTCTCAACTAACAAAGGATTTATGATGAGGACAGATTCTAAAATATATTCCACAGCGATATCAAAATACTATACTACACATATCAAGTACTTTCAACAAAGCTCAATTATATGTAAGATTACCTAACAGTGCATATAATCAAAATATATTTACCAACCTTATTTTCGGTTGGACAACTTCTATAGGAACTTGCAGAAATGCAAAATAAGCTTAATTCGGTTTCTAAAGAAACATAAAAAGTCATTATAAGCGTACTATTGCGTAAACGTTATTTTAATACGCAGTGAAACCCAACCCATTCGTAGAGTATTAGAGAAGATGATTTCTGAATGAGAAAATGCAATAAGAAAACTTGAAGAAATGCACATGGTATGCCAGAAATCGCCTCGTTGATGTTATTGTTTCCATATCAGCCCTTAGAACTTTACGTATGACATAAACACCATCTTTGTCTTACGATTTCGTCAGCTTCTTGCCGAAATAATCTGAAATTTCCCTCTTTTCTAGTTTGTAAGATACTGCTTCTTTCAAACTCTCATATTTCTAAAAGATCCAATGGAGTCTATGTAATAAATACTCAAAAACTTTCTGAATATGCCTTTTATATGTTCCCAGCTTGTCATTATTGTGATAAATAAAATGAGATTTTTTGGTGTAGTAAGTGTATATAGACAAAAAAATGCCTGGCAAAAACTCGTCAATAGACGAAGTAGTGGAGTAAATGAAATCCAATGATAATTAGTGCCGAGATCAAAAATTTACTCTTGTTGGTTACCCTTAGAGAAAATATACTATTGCCACAATAATGATTGCTTTCAGTGATAAAATCAATAAAAGAAAAGTAAAGTCCGACTTCAAGTAAGTTAAAAGGGGATAATATATGAATATGACAAAGTTTGAGCTTGTATCAATACTGGACAAACAACCTAATTTCATCGATTTCATCAATAATCTCACTCCTATACCAGAATTTAATACTTATAGAACACTTATTAGAACGTATTAGTACATTTAGCCAAAAGCTACTACAACTAAAACATTGAATTGAGGTTCCAGCAGACTCTAAGGCACAAAAACAGCGGTGTTTAGCGATAGTTGCTAAACCGTTTGAGAAGTGCTTTATACAAAAGTTGTTTGACTCACCACTTTCTATTACGTAACATTATTTTCGCTTATACAGGATGTTCCATTTAAGCGTAACGAAGAGTATGTAGATTTTTTTAAATGGAACACCCTGTCTATTTTATCATGTTATGAATAAAATTAAATTTGTTTATGCAACCGTACATGTTACTAATTCATAGCTTTCATAGTTCCTGAAATATTCAATTGTTTTTCCAAAATGTGTCCATTGCAGGATCTTTTTAAAAACGATGTAAAAACGAGATTTTTCCCAATTTTGCCTTTAAACTATGTCAGATAATAGTCAAAGCTAGTGGGTAAATGATAGTATCCAAAGATATTAGATATGCTATACAGCGTGTTCATAAAACTTAGGTACTTTTGATGTTTTTCAAATGGCTTTTTCATAAGTTTTTTAAATGGAACACAATGTACGTTGTGTGCTGGTTGAATTGCCCATCAAGTTACCTTTAATTAATGATAAGTATGTCATATATCTAAGTTTAGTACTTTTCCTGATATTTAGAATTTAAAGAATAATGTGTAATAAAATATGCGTTATTGTACTTAATTCTGTCTATTTTTATCAGTTTTTTTTGTTCTTCTTTGATTAATATTTTATAATGTAAAATAATTTTGCTGCCATATACCAGATTTTAATGCAACTTGGTACTTTATGAGATTTAAAAAGATGTAAGTAATAAAATATGCAATTGTTCTGCCATATAATTTACGACTTTAGAGAAAATAAGATGTACATGTTAAGAGATACCTCAAGATCTTTTAAACAGCGCATTAATGCTTGTAGAAGAGAAAATGGGCGGCATTTTGAAGAACTTCTAAATATTAATTAAATTCATACCTTACTACTTGTTGAGCAACGTTTAGTAATTGTTTATAGTTTGTTGCTGCATTTCCTTCAAATAATTTACTAATTAAAAAAGGGATATATTGTTCTGCCATTTAATTGCATTTTTTGTATTTTTATCACGTTTTGATTATTTATTTATTAAAGTTTTTTTTAATTGTATTTTAATATAATATTACTGATTTACAAATGATAGACAAACAAAAATGAAAAAACAAAAAAAGGGACAAAAAAGGAATGTTCAGACATTCTGTCACTTTTTTAAGTACAATAATGATATTTTAGTACACATTTTTCTTTAAATTCTAAAAATTAGGAAAACTATTAAGCTTAGACATATGACATACGTATCATAAATTAAAGGGAACTTGATGAGCAATTCAACTAGCACACAATATACAAGGTGTTCCATTTAAAAAACTTAAGAAAAAGCCATTTGAAAAACATCAAAAGTAACTAAGCTTAATAAACAATCTGTATAGTGTATCTAATATCTTAGAATACTGTCACCCACCTACTGACTTTGACTATTGTCTGACGTAGTTTCAAGGCAAAATCAGAAAAAATGTCGTTTTTGCATCGTTTTCAAAAAGATCCTGTAACAGGTAAGTACATGTTGGAACAACAATTGAATATCTCGGAACTATGAACGTTGTGAAATAGTAATATATACGATTGTATAAACAAATTTAGTTGTATTCATATGATAAAATATACAGGGTGTTCAATTTAACTAAATTTGTGTACTCTCCGTTACGTTTAAATGGAACAGCCTATATAAGTGAAAATAATTTTACGTAATAGAAAGTGATGAGTCAAACAACTTTTGTATAAAATATTTTTTTGTTTTTCAAATGGTTTAGTAACTATCGACCACCGGGATACTAATAACTCACCCTGTATTTGCCAAATTTATTTCTTGGATTGGTTTGGAGTTCAGGAGTACTCTTTTGGTAAATTGTAAAGAGGATAACACCACATAGGAAGTTTTGACAGATTATGATATCTCATCTATAGATATTTTTATTCTTGACATCACAACACTTTATCTGAAACAGAGAAAGCTCCTTATGCTAACGTAACTACATTGTTTAGTTGACTCAATAAATCAAATCCTATAAGATGGTATATAAGATACATGTACATTTCGAAATCTAATACTTTGACCTATAATATATTCATTGAACCAATTTCTTTATAATTTATGATTATAATTTTATTAAATTAGAATTAAGAGTGTGAACTTGCGAGATCAACGCGAATATGGTTATTTCGTGATACACAACTATTTCCCACAAACTCCCGCTTAACATCGCCTGGGCACACATACGTTCCCACCGTTTCTCTGTGCAAACATAAATAACCGGAGATCGTTTAACGCTGAAATGTCCACTTTTAAACATTATACTCGCGAGCATCGAGCAACACACAAACACTTCAGTTATAACGTAGACGGCACACACACGTATTCGCGCCATTAGGTATTAACTTAATCGCCTACAATGTCTTGGCCCTTATTACTATAATAAATAACCATTAAAGATTCGTGAGCTCTCTCCGAAAATTGCAGCTCGCATGTGCTCGGGACTGATTTTGTAATATATATTAAAAATGCCCCAAAAGAGTATGTTATTCACATAAAAAATTGTGTTTTGTACAAATTTGGGACGTTAACCTTTATTTGGGTTAAAAAAATATTTTTCTAAAAATAAGAAGTTGGTGAAGGAGAAAATCTTGAAAAAAAAACATCAATAAGATAACAGGGAAGTACGTGGAGGAAGTCGAGAAAGGAAATTTGTAGC